TGATAAATATAAAGAGTGGAAGAAGCTCACAACTCTATAGAGAAGTATAGGATGAAGGCATAGCTCAGTGAGTCAGTCACAGTAAGCTAGACTATTCTGTGGTAACAAACAGCCCCTGACTATCAGTGGCAACAGAAGCTTGTTTCTCTCTCATGTTACAAGTCTCCTGAAGGTTATGAAGGAACCCAGGATAAAAAAGTAACAAAAAATGCCAAAAGGAATATAGCTCAGAAAGATCAGAAGTTACCTGTAAAATGCAGGAGCCTGGGGGTGATGTATGCCACTCTTGGTCACAACTCATTAGTTAAGTGAAGTCACAACCAAGCAGAAAGATTCAATATGGAGAATCCTTCTATGCATAATGGAAATTCTAAGCTGAGATCAAGAGTAGGGGGCCTCATCTCCCATGAGTAGGAGTTAGAGGAAGTATAAGTATTTGGGTAATTGAAGAGCCAGAGCAAAAACTCAAAGGGTGAAAGAGACCATGTCAGATCCTTCCCTAGACACTCAAGCTAATACAGGTAGCCTATCTGTAGACTGCATCTTCTTGGGGGAAAAATGACATGCACCCTGAGTTGTGTTTTGAGGAATTAATTATGCTTCCTGTAAATAAGGGATTGTATTACACCAAGAAAGTTATCAAATTATACCATGTTTAAATATGCTGCCAATAAACTTCCTGGCATCAGACTCTTGAAGTTTGATCCAGCCTGGCAGACTAAGTTGGGCTGAACTGAGTTTTCATTCTCAGTTCATTTTCCTGACTGCAGTGATACCTGTGGGGACCTCTCAATGGATTTTTAAAAAATTACTTCTAGATTTATTTATTTCATTTTATGGGTATGATTGTTTTACTTATGTGTCTATATGTGTACCTGGTGCCTGGTGCTCTGGAAGGTTAGAAGAAGGCATCAAATCTTCTGCAACCGGAACAAAGTTACAGAGGATCGTGAGCTACCATATGGGTGCTGGGAATCAAATGTGGGTCCTCTGCAAGATCAACAAGTGTTATGGACCACTGAGCTACCATCTCTTCAGCCGAAACATATCTTATGTGTAAAACACAGCCATTCACTTAGACAAGTTGGTAATTTTCACATTCTTTCTTTCATTCACTCATCCAGAGATGTGCTCCTCCCTGACATATTTTATTCTAAGGACACTTAGTTATCTTTTCCATATTTATTTTATCCATTTGTCATGGTCTATGAGTAGACAGATGTCTATGAACTACTTTCCTAGAAAATTATGAAGGTAATTTACTCAATACAGAATTGAGGGAAAAGGTTTTAACTTTCATTAGCCACCAAGAAATGCTTTGAAAGCAAGAAGGCAGGTAAGAGGAGACTCAAATTCTGAATGGATAATCACCTCCAGTACCTGCAAACCAGGCTCTGTTCAGATGTGGAATTCATCATCTGAACTTTTTAACTGAGCCAAGATGGCCTTACTGACTATGTATTGGATCAATCCGACAATCCTCCTAGATTTGTGTCAGACAAAGTTTCCGCAAGCGTTCTTTCACTAAAGAATTTTAATGTAAACATCTTTAATTTTTCATCAACCATTTACTGAACACACAGAGTATACAGAGCTAGGCACTATAGATAAGGTAGTGAATAAAACCAAGTGCCAAGGAGCTAACAGTTCAGTGAAGGATACAGGCAAGGAAGAAAAAAAAAAAAACCACTGTTCATCAAATGGTGCTTAACAGTACTTGCATAGGATAAACTATACATGAATTCTAAGTGTGATTAAGGGAAGCTTGCCAAGATGAGAACACTTAATAGAAATAAGGGGGGATATTTAGAATAAGGAAACATGAAGCAGGAACAAAAGAGGCATGAGTTATAATCATCCTAGGAATGTTCCTAGAACCTCAGGGCAGAGGGTGGGATAGAGAGCAATAGAGTATGAAAAATGAGGAAACAAGAACTATCTTATAGATGGGAAAGGAGAGAAAATGCTCTCCTATACTGTGAGGACTTTCTTTAGCATAAGAGGGAAGTTGGGTAATGATGAAGGACTTTGAGCCAAGAGTGATAGGATCCTGATTGAAGTTTTTGGAGGCCAAGCTGGCAACTGTGTTGAGAATAGAGTTGAATGCATGCAAGAATGAAAGCAAAAGCCTCTTCCTGTAGCTAGAGTTTTCCTGCCTTGCCCACAGTCAGGACAAATCTTTGTCACCCGCCAGTCCCACAGCCACTCAGACCCAACCAAGTAAGCACAGAGACTTATATTGGTTACAAACTGTATGGCCGTGGCAGGCTTCTTGCTAACTGTTCTTATAGCTTAAATTAATCCATTCCCATAAATCTATACCTTGCCATGTGGCTGGTGGCTTACCGGCGTCTTAACATGCTGCTGGTCATGGCGGCAGCTGGCAGTGTCTCTCTGCCTCAGCCTTCCGCTTCCCAGAATTCTCCTCTCTCCTTATCCCACCTACTTCCTGCCTGGCCACTGGCCAATCAGTGTTTTATTTATTGACCAATCAGAGCAATTTGACATACAGACCATCCCACAGCATATACCTGTAGCTCTTTGGGGTGAAAACCAATGATACTCAGTCCAGTAGTACCTGCAGTGCTGAGTGGTGAATTCTAGTTATATTTTGAAAGACAAAGTGAGATTTGTTATTGAATTTTACATAGATAGGGTACAAAAAATTGAGTAAAAATGGCTCCAAGCATTATTTCTCAAACAACTGGAAAAAAGAATTTACTGAATTGGGAAAAGTCAAGAGCTTGATTGATTAATTGATTGATTGATTGACTTTCCAACTTACTTATTTCTAATAGTACTGGGAACTGAACCAGGAGCCTCATATTAGTTCAACAAACACTCTAGCATTTAATTATATTCCCAGCAAGTAAATTTAAACCCTTATTCAGTATTCAAGTCAAAATATAGACAGACTGTTGGATATGTGAATATAAGTTTCAAGGAAGGTAACAGACTATAAAATTATCTGTAGATAAGGAGAATTATCTATCTCACATACAAACTAGTTTCATATTTAGGTGTTTCTAATGGCCTTCACCACTGTAAAGAGTTCATGTGAAACTGAAGATTATAGGGAAATTGTAGGGTCTCCAGTAGACATTTATTAAAAATGCTTTAAATGCTGCTTATCTGGGAGCAACTAGTTAGAAAATGCAATTGCTATGGAATGCTAACCCTAGAAGAAACGAGATAGTGGCATTTAAACATCTTAAGGGTATCAGATGCTAAGGTGTAGTAACTTGCAATCAATACCTGTAATTTGATGAATAGGTAACTAAATCCACCCACCTGAATCCAGTCCTTGTTTTTTTCCATAATAGATTAAATTAAAAACAAAAGCCATTTTTTTAAACCCACCAATTCTGGTGAAGCACAGAACTTGATCTTTGATAAACCTTAAAATATAACATAAAATAAAAAAAGGATTACTTTGAGGGTTCAGATGGAAGGTGGCCCAATTATTGAGCCAGGGCTGGAGCCAATAAGGACAATGGCATTCTCACACATTGAGCAATGCTCAATTCACCTTCCCTCGGGAGTCATGGCTCCTAGAACTAAAGCCAAGGCCCCTGCCTCCCATATGGCGCATCTACTATCATATCTTTGATATGTGTCAACATTTTGTAGACAACTACAATATTTCAACAATATCCTCCAGCCTTTTAAACTCTCTCCCCCAAGATAATTTTTAAATTACCATTCATTTGGATGGAAATCGCTGTTTCTAAGAATTTTTTTTACTTTCTCAAAATACATACATTTTACTCACTCACTACAAATAACTCCATATCAAGTGCATATGTTGAACTAGAAACCAGAAATATGGTAAGAAAAAAATGCAAAGTCACTATCCTTATGAAGCTTACATCCCAATGGAGGAAATACAAATCAACTCATTCATCAACTCTTGTCTGAAAGAATTAAAAGTTGAACATCCAGAGTAATGATTCTATTGTCTGTAAAGAATTTAATGAAGCAATATATAATGGACCTAAATGAATTTCTAGACTCTAAACCTGTCAAAGATTTTTATTTCATAGTCTCAAATACTGTAACAGTATCAATCAATTATACCAACTGTTGTGGTTTAAATGTACAATGTCTCCCACAAGCTCATGTGTGTGAGTACTTAATCCATAGCTGATAATGCTGTTTTAGAAGATTGTGGAACCTTTAGGATGTACATCTTTGCTGGAGGAAGTTGACTGTTGATGTCCAGTCCTTGAAGCTTTAACCTACTCAGCTTCCTTCCTCTCTTTGCTTCTATTACATCACAACAGATGCTGTGACCTATAGCAAACTGCTGTACCAAGGTGGGAGCCCCAGTCACTGTGCCTTCCCTGTCATGAAACGCTGAGCGAAGATAAATCCTTCCTTCTCTGACGCTTCTTGTAAGCATTTAATTGAAGCAAGGAGAAAAGTAACTAACATACCAACCTACTCCATCTATGGGAACAACTGCTCAAATTACAGGATCCTTCAGGAGACTTAATCTTTGGACTAATGAAGTTTTGGATCTAATGTTTTCCCGGTATAACATTTTTGCAGCCACTTTGGTTCAATCCCTACATCAATCCTGTTGAGTAGGTGTTTTTATCTCATTATATAGAAACAAACAGGAGGGACAATGATCCCTTCAAGGTGAGAAAATAAAAATAGGAAAATTAAAAGCTCTTACATTAAGTGATGGGGTCTACATAGAAGCCTTTTTGAGGCTAAGAATGTAACTCAGTTGGTAGAGGGCTTGGCCCCAATACACCATAAAACTGGTGCCACATGCTTATAATCATAGCAAACTGGAGGTGAAGGTAAGAAGGTAATAAGGTGAAGGTTAAAAAAGAAACTGTAAGTCCCAGTTCATCCTCAGTTACATAGAAAGGTCAAGTATATCTTGGGCTATAAGGACCATGTCTCTAATAAATAAATAAATTAAAAAGAAAAGCTTCATAGACATGCAAACTCCTCAGTGTTAATGAATGCCAAACCAAGAAATGAAAGACTTTTTTTTTTTTACTCTAAAACCAGATCTTTAACCACCCCATCAGCATGGATGGTATAAACAATTCATGAATCCTAAATATGGGATACTCTATAACAATCTTGATATAGACATACTCCTGTCTTCTTCATCCTGCTTTGTGCTCAGGGAGTTTGATCTCCATGAAATGCCTTGCCACATCCCTGTGCACACTGGATTCCAGTTGAGTTTGTCCAATGGCAATACCCACAGGAGACGATGAGAGCTGAAGGGAAAGAGAAAAAGAGTATGTGTAATCTTTTTCCAATTATTATTATCTGTCATATCACAAGTTAGCCATGGTCGGTTTTTTTCTACTAAAGCTGTGGATAGTGTATTATCTACTCTTTTAGTTGCTGTGATAAAAATCCTGACAAAGATAATGAATTTATTTTAGCTCACCATTGTATACAGTTCAGTCCACCATTGGAGAGAGGGCATGGCAGGGCAGAACAATTCATGTCATAGTGGGTCAGGAAGCAGAGACATGGGGAAAGCTAGTAAACTATTTGTTTTCTGACTTTACCCTTCCCCTCATTTAGCGTATCTTTGTGCCACGAGGCCAAGGAATGGTGCCACCTACAACAGTAGGTCTTTCCCCTCAGTTAATCCTCTTTCTAATGCCCTTATAGACACACCCAATGGTGTGACTCAATCGCCTAGGAGATTCTACATGTAATCAGGTTGACAATGAAGCAGTCACAGATGACCCCCTCCTGGTTTTACAATCCTAAATTCAAGTAATCGCTCCATGATTCTTCAGACCTATGGTGGATAATGGCTCCAGGGCCAGGCTCTTAATAGAAACAAGGTGTTTGACTGCTTCATCTTGTCCACATATCCATAATAATCTCTTCATCACATCTTCCTGAAGTAACTCCATCAGAGGGGCCATCTGTTTTGTATTGGGACCCTGATTACTATAGCTTGAGAAATGGAACTAAAGAAGTAGATGGGCAAAATTATTTCCTCGAAAGAAAAATGCACTTACACGACACACGGCAACCTTGAACAGAGACTACTGCGTACATTCAGGGCAGGAAAATCTATGCAATTCTTTTCTTATCGATAACTTCCCTAAGGATGTAATAATTTATCTCCCACTCTCCTCTAGCATTGTCAGAAAGACAAAGTCACTTTAGCCATCCTGGTTACTTCTGTTTTCAGTTTGCTATTTCTTCATCTACAAGTTGGAAATTTTCAATAAAACTCAAGACCAGAACAGATGTTAACATTTTAGTATTAAGCTTTAATATAATCCCTTTTGGCAACACTAATGAGGCCTGATTATTGTAAGGTTTAGAGTAAAGTAAAAGAATGTTGGCTTTATTTTAGAATGATGGAGCATATTGAAGTCACACACTATTATCTCAAAGGAGGCCACCAGAAAGAGACTCAGACAGAAGTTCATAAGATAGGATCTATTATCACTGGTCTCCCTATTCAACAATCTTAAAAATTGTTGTACTCACAAAGCCAATTAAAAGCCTCCTACACTCTCCTTCATTGACTAGAATAATTGCAGTTTTAAAAGGAGTTCAGATGGAAAAAGGAAATGATTCCTTCAGAAATATTACACCAAGATATCTTTTTATTACGGATGCACAATCAAAGTCTAGCACCAGTCTGGTCCCCGAGATGATTAGAGCACCTCCTCCATCACAGCTTGCCTCACTGCTACCGTCTCAGTTCCATAGCTTCCTGGGGAGTGTCTCAGCTCCCAGTACCACTCCTCATTTATCCATCCTCCATGTTCTAGTTTGAATATACTTCTTCTCGGTCAGTTTTTAGGATAGCATCACACAATCCATAGAATAAAGCAAACTCCTGAGAGATAATCAAGGCTTGCATGCCCTTGTAGACCCTCTCATCACCCCTAAGACTTATGTTTGCCACACCCCGGGTGCCCTACCTTTCCTAGTCTTTTCTGGATGCAACTTAGTTTTTCTTCCTTTCAGGATTTTGTTCCTGCTGTCCTGCTTCTAACAATTATTTCCAGCATCCCATTTTGGGGGGACTCTCCTGTGCACAAGGGATCAAGTTAAGCCACATTTTGACTGAAACTTTGCTCCAACTTCATCTCCATAACAGCCTTCCTGAAGTGTATCTTTTTATTTTTTATTTGTCTACCAAATCTCTTTTCTTTTTTTAACATCCCATCCTTCCAGAAATAAGGAACTATGCTAATTAATTTTATAATGTCATCACCTAAATCTTTGAGCTAAGATGCACATTTAGAAAGGAAATATTTGTCAACTGTCTACTGTAACACTCAATGACTTATTTACAGAAGGTTTTGATTCATCCTCACAACATAAAGAAGTGCTGTTGTCCCATTTGTTGATGAGGACAGTGGACCTGAAAACAAAGAAATCTTGCTAAAGGTACTGCAGCTAATAATGTGAAATCCAGAAACTTAAGTTCTGATTTTACTGCATTGTTCACTATATCATATATTCACATAGAAAGCTGATTTAGCAGACTTTTAACATTCCTTTTTACGTGAAGTTCATGTTATAGATTACAAATTGCTTTGGTAACATGGCATCCTCTTACAGATCACTAATAAACCAATAAAGTTGTTAAAGCAAGGGAGGGAGCCTCATTTTTTGAGATGAAGTCTTAGAGAGAAGAATGATTCTTTCTAGGTCACTAAAAAACAAACAAACTGGAGGCACCAGGATGATAACTCTTATCTTGTAGGCCAGTCCTCTTTTTCTGCAGTCCTGTCTGCCACACCGATACTGTATTTCCTTACTGGCAGGGAAAATGTGTCTTCAAAACAACTTGAATATGTTAAGAGGCTCCCCATGAGCTGCCCACATATCTTGCTCTTTGATCTTGTCTTAGGCATTAAGGAACTATGATCAACCCTGTTGGAACAGCTATATCCTAAGCTGTGGCTGTAAGGCAACAAGCTAACATTCAAATCTTGACTTTTTTTTTCATTTCTTAACCTATAGTGAAAAAGCTTAATTCATTTCTAATATTTAAAAATCAGGTGTTTAACTTCTCTTCGATATAGGGGGGCATCATTACTCCTATCACCAGATATGAGGCTATCACACCCACTTGCCTTGTCATCCTCCAAGTTCCCAATATGATTCTCAAAACTGAAGATACCCCATATACAGAACAATACCCCATGATACTACACGAGAGAGCTTGCAGGGGCCTTGTCCACAGATTTGCCTCTCTCTCTTTTTTCAAGTGTAGAAGACATTGGCATCAGCTGCTCTTGCTGCCATCCCCTTTATGATCCTCCTTCCAACCACACTGCAAGTACTCTGGGAAGAAGACTATTCAGTGAGTGGGAAAGGATTCCCCATTACAGTAGTGGAGACAGTTTTCCCAGTTAGACCTCTGACCTCTGCTTTATCTGCCCAGCTTTCTGAGTGACACTGAAGAGGTAACTGTATGATAGGAACAAGAATATTTCTTACTAATGTTCCTTCAATAAGCTGAGTCTAATCTGATTGTTTATCTTTAATATAGAAGCGTTATTTTGTATACTCTTTATAGGACTTTTCAAATCTCCTACTTCCTAATGCTGAGGTAACTATCTATAATATACATCAGTTATTTTGTCATAATAGTATTTTCCTTCTGAATTTATAATTAGAAATATATCATACTTTTCCCATAGGAAAAACAGAAACACAAACATAGCACAGAAATAACACAAGGTAATAGGAAAAAGACCCAAAGATTGTCCATGTGACTCTCCAAATCATAAAGCTAGTAAGCAATATCCTTTTAAAAACAGCCAGGTCTCTGGTTTTTCATAAACACAGTTACTTACATTCTTCAAGTGTATATGTTTGCATTCATAATCACAGATGTATGGACTCTAGTACACCACGCTAAATTCACAAAAAAATCCAAGGTCTAGAGAAGAAATAAATGGCACAGTCAGGTCTCTAGGCTATTAGCCTAAGGTTCTTTCAACTTATTCAAGAGGTTCATATATAGTTAGGAAGTACATTTGATTTGTGGGCAGCCAAAACACTATGTGAGTGCATTGTGATATCCTCTGTAGCTTGATTTTTTCTGCCTTGCCCACAGTACATATTGGTTTAACTCAACATCTTTTACGATCAAATGTTTTTCTGCAGTTAAAAATCCCAAAGACAATATAATCCCAAACTCTCTGTGTGATATCCATCTTTACATGGCTTATTTTTTATATTACTTTTACTTTCTCTTTAACGACTTTATTTTTTTAAACTTTCTATTTCTTTATATAACTGTCTATG